CCCCAAAACCCCAAAACCCCAAAACCCCTTCTAATTACTTTTGATATAAAATAGAAGGATAATAAGATTAAATTTACTGAATCTAGATATTATAGCAAATATTTCGATTTAATTATAGGGATCCTAATGAAATTTCAATTACTTAATCAATAATAAACAAAACAGCTTAAGTTAGATGGAATTCAAGATGGAAAAGATAGAGGTTGCTCCATAAGATCAAAGAGATTATGAGAATGATATGCCAGCCCCCAGAAAGTCGAAATTCTCTAAGGTAATGAGATCATTTGGAGATAATTAGAATAATAATTCACAAAAAACTACAGCATTTTTAACAAATACTGAAGGCTAAGGCAATGGTGATACCTAAGCGCTCTTAAGTCAAAATAATTACAAGTACAATGATGAAACCTCTGTTAGTCAACCAGGATTAGCAATGGCGAGATCGCTTGATAGTAAAGGCAATCCAAAACTTATTCTATACAAAAGAAGGTGGATAATATTACTGTGTTTCAGTTTAGCTTTAATAGCAAGTGGGATGGCTATGGGTACTTGTGTTACAATTTCTCCATTACTCAAAAAATTATATGGTATAAGCGCTTTTGAAGCTAATTTTGCTAACCTTATCTACTTAGTCATGTACATACCATTCAATTTCGTATCTATAATCGTGCTCAAGACATATGGACTTAAAGTTTGCATAATAATTGGAGCAATTGTTACAATTGTAGGTGGTTGGCTTAGACTATTACTTGTTTGGACTAATTTTCATGTGTTTTTGGGTGCTTCTGCTATCTGTGCTAGTAGCTAGCCATTTTTATTGAATAATCCTAGCAAGGTTGCATCTAACTGGTTTGGTGACAAGGAAAGAGGCATAGCTACTGCCATTGGAAGTATGGCTATCCCTGTTGGCACACTTATCAGTTTCATTATGCCAAATGCATTTATTTCAAATGATGATATGGCAGATATTGAAAAGGCAACCAGAAATTTCGAGATTTATGTGATTGTTTAAACTGCTATCATTACTGTTCTATGCATTCCTGCTTTAATATTTACCTAGGAAGAGCCACCATCTCCTCCCTCTGTAATAGCTAATGAGACAAACAATAAGATGGGAATGGCTGAGGGTGTAAAGGAATTGTTTACTAATAGAAATTACATTATACTGTTCCTAATTTTTAATTTCATTTATGGGATACACAGTTCAATAGGTGGGACTATAGCAAGTGTTGCTTCTGGTTACGGATATGGTGTTAGTGCTTGTAGCACAATGTGCTTTGTTTATCTTACTGGAGGTATTTTCAACTCATTTTTCCTAGGGGTTATTCTGGATAAGTATTAAGCATATAGAAAACTTGTAATGATAGTTTGTGTAGTTAGTGTAATCTCATGTGGTATACACCTGGTAGCTCTACCAACAGGAAATGTCTTATTTGAATCATTCGCAATGATGTTAGTAGGTGCTGCTGTCTTGCCAATCACAAACATTTCATATTCATTCGCAGTTGAGTTAACATTCCCTGTACCAGAAGTAATAACAAATGGAATGATGATTTCGATATCACTTGTTTGGGGTGTTTCTCTAGGTATTTTATGTCAAGCTCTAGCTGATATTGATCCAAGGTATACTCTTGCATTTTGGACTCTCAGCTCAATAATTGCTCTTATTTTATCCTGTTTCCTTAAATAAGAGCTAAGACGCCTTGACCTTGATGATGTCAAGAACTCAGAATATATTGAAGATGATGAATTTAGAAGGTAATCCTATGAATAAAGAGAAGCATTTTTGAGAGAATCAGGTTTTGAAGAGGATATGAAATTTAAATTTGAATTTGATTTGATGGATAAGGAAAAAAATAAAAACACTTTCTTAAAAGTAAACAAATCATTCGATAATGGAAATAATTGAGTCTTATTTTGATTTTCCATCATATTACAATCATTTTACTGCTTTTGAATGCTTTTAAATACTTTATTACAAATCCTATTTATACTAATTCTTTAGTTTTGGGGTTTTGGGGTTTTGGGG